CCAAATACTCAGACTTATAAAAAAAATAAGAGAAGACTTACAGGTACCGTCTAGTTCTAATTTTAACTTTGCATACATTTCACCGTGATTACTAGTGACTTGAGCAAAACCACAATATATATATATATATAATGAAAATATAAATGTATATAATATGGTTTGTTTTTTTTCACCAAAGATTATATATATATATATATATACGATGCGCTATTTACATTCCATCTAATGCAGGTTTTATGTTTTGTAGGTAGTTTCACACACACATACACACACACATATATATATATATATATATATATATTTGTGTGTGTGAAAACTACCTACAAAACATGATACATGCATTAGATGCAATTTAAGTAGCTCATCGTATATATATATTTAATCTTTAGTGAAAAAAACCATATTATATACATTTATATTTTCATTATATATATATCACGGTGAAATGTGTGTTGGGCCAAAGTCAGAACTTGTCGATGTCCGTAAGTCTTCTTTTAATACTTTTATAAGTTTCAGTATCAGGATTATTTCATGGGTTGAAATAGCGAATGTTGCAATTGTCTAAGCGTTTAGTATATATTTAAGTAAAGAAATATATAATCAGTAGGACATGATTACACTATACATAAATAGTATGTATATATATTTTGTGTGTATATAAAAAGTATGTTATACGTATGCACATGTAGATAGATAGATATATATATATATATCATATGGTCCTTGCGATCAATTGTGTGTTTATATATTTATTCTTTAAATATATATTCTAAGCTGTTGTCTAAGCAATCATACATTTATATGTGTGTGTTTGCCTGTGTATGTGTTTTTTGGCATCCGAGTGCATAAGAGCACTTGCTGTGCACTGACATGTGCGTGTGTCTTGAATGTGTGCATGTGTGCGGTTGTCGCTGCATGCTGTAAGCTTTGATGTGTGCTGTTGTCGATTTGACGTGTTGTTGGCAGATGCAAGTTTTGCACGTTGCCAACCTGCATTATTGCATCATCCTGTCGGCTCGGCACTCCTCTGCCTGCCTCTTGCCCTCTGAGCATGCGTTGCTGGGCGTCCTCTTGTCTGCTTGTCTGCTAGTCCACGGCATGTGCAGGCTGATGCCGTCCATCCATCCATTTGCCCGCCTGTGCATCAGTCTGTGCATCGCAGTTGCTACCGGGTTGAGTTGTCTTTTGGCAGATTGGCGCGCTCTCGAGCCTCGCAACTTCAATGGCGTCGGGTTCGACCCGCCATTGCGTAGCAACTCAGGCCGACCTCTTGCCATCCTCCCCCTGTTGCCAACGCACCACAAGTCTGCCTGTACGCCGAGAGACGGTTCAGTGAGTCTGAGCCGGCTTGCTTCGGCTTCGCCCTGCGTCTCGCCGTGTCCATGCCTTTGAGGCGCAGGGCGCCAGGTACAGATCGGGCATAAGACACTCGTCGTGGTGGTCTCAGAGTCTGCTGAATCGCGTCTCTGTGCCTCATCACTTTGTCGTCAGGTGGTCCGGCGCCATTGCAGACGCCGTTGCTCAGCCCATCCGTCTGTGAAGGGGTGGAGGGCGGAGGGCGAAGAGGTACCGGTCTACGAGGCAGACGTCTCCCAGACGCCGCCCTCCTCTCCACCACCGCTCCTCTCGTCTCCTGCCGCCCTATCAACACAGCTCGCCAGCTTGTCTCATCGTCATTGGCCCAGGCCGACTGCTGCCGGCATCGATGCCTTTGCAGAAGTCACTCGATCCGGCGGTCCGACGACACCCGGTCGT